CGCCAGATGCAACTGGAAATCCCAATTGAAAGATGCAGTTTTGTTTATCAAGAGACATTGTCAGCCATTGCATGTATTTTATTTTCTCATTAAGGAAATGCACTGAGCATATACAGAGATTACATTCAATACAGATTTATCATTACAGAACAATCATAAAATAAAGATACAATCAATACGTATTTCCTGTAGCAAAACAGATTGAAGGAACTGATTCAAGCTGAGAATAAAATGAAAAAAAACAACTTAAGTGATTTTTACACAGATGAGATATTTAAGTCTAAATTAACATTCTCAGCCAAGATCTGTTGCATTGTTGCAATCTTTATATTCAACAGCTTTATCAGACTTGTGCCTAGCAACTCAGCATAGACCAGAACTGCCTTGTCTGAGAGCCCACTCGAACAAAACCCCGGAAGAATAGTCCCAGTCTGAAGCCACAATCTACACGAGATGATGAAAGGATCCACACAGAGGAACGAGTACAATAAAACAAGGAGACAGTTTGGTCCATGTGACAGGCAACAGCTAGTAGGCAGGCTAGGGTTATACTCTACGTGGACGTTTCACCGATTTCACTTGAACAAGCTCTCTAGAGTTTGCAACCTTAATAAAATTTTTGTGAATGTGCAGAATTCTATGACACACTGCCTGGAATTGATTTTTCAGAGAATTATACTGAAAAAAAAGTCACAATGCAAAGCTAGTGGAAAAACTACTTTGCCATGTATTTTGTGAGTTCTGTAAACTTGACGATCGAATCTTTTTCCAAATGGGCAACTAAAACTAGAACTCGAAAGACTACCTCTACTTCAAGTAGACCGGCTGGACTTTAAGCCAGTCCTATGCATGTTGTGTGCCAGAGATTAGACCAGGTCATCACAGTTGGACATTAAAATCTACAAATATCACTCATCTGCCCCTCTGAGTTTTGAATCAAAGGAGGTACCACCCTGCTCTCCAATGTCATAGACCCAAGACCCTGCTTAGTGCTATCACATTGCACGTTATGTCACTTCTCGTCTTGCCTAGTTTCAGCATAACCACTTCAAAGGACTGACTGCCTACTAGCTAGTGCTGCACAATGCCTTCGACGATGTGGCCCATTCTGGATCATTTATTTGGTAAGACTGCAATGAATGGGATTATTAAAAATGTTGATTTAGTTCCTTACATCTCTAAAGATCTCCAAGTAATTCCGTTCACTTTGCAAAATGAAAAGGATATATAAACCACCACAGATCAACTCAATCACGTCATGGAAGGGGGAGATATATCCTCTTACTCTCAAAGAATGAAGTTTAGGACAGTGAAGAATTAACTACATAGTTGAAACCGCAGGAAGAATTTGGATAAACAAAAACGTTATTACTCAAGTTATTTGCCTACAAGACAGGGATTAACCACTTGTTCTCAAAACCAGCAGTAGAGAGAGAACAAAGCTGATCTTTGGAGGGAGCTTACCAGTTCAAAACAATTTCCAAGCTCTTTTTTTTCTTCTTCTTCTTCCAATGTTGTGGTAAGATTCTCAAAGGATCAGAAAAGAAAAGACTGGAAGGGTTTTTTTTCCAGGAATTGTACATAATATAACATTACGTACATGCACTGTTCTCTTAATGACCTTCTCTTACCAGTTTGCATTAATAGTAAATCACCTTTATTTCAAGTTTTCTGGCTTTGTCCAATTCGCCAATGTTCTCTGAAAGACTAATTTGCTTGCTAGAATTTTCAGTCACTTTGTGCTTGAAAATTTTAGCTTGCTTTTGAATGTCTGCCAACAGTAAACAGCATTTGGAAGATATTGGTCCTTTACCCTACTACAAGGCTACTTGCAGCTAAGATTTCTCCTTCTCTTTATACATACTATCTAAATTGTAGGAAAATTTTACATATTCGCACAATCAACCCTTTACAATAAACAAGAAGAGGTCAGTGTTTCTTAGGTATAGGTCAAGACATATTTAGCAGATGGAACCATTTTTATCTGAACATCTGTCAGGTCTGCCTACTGCTTTTTGCCTACCGAGAAATATGGTACATGGAGTAACGTGATTAGGAAATATAATCATCCCTTTCTAAGAAGGCAGACTTGTTGCTTCAGGATACTTTTTCTCCCCCCTCATGTCAGCCTCAACAACAGGTGCCACAGCAATGCAAAGACGAGGAGAGAGAAGTAGCTTGTGGAGGTGGTGACTCTTGAAGCCAGGCTTTTTGCATTGCAGTTGTTTGAGTAGCAGCAGTGAACGCTCACTCCAGGCGCTCTGGATCCGTCCCTCCTTGCCCGCTCGCAGAAGGACCTGAACGAACAGGACTTCATAATGCCACCTAGAACAGAGCCACATTGAACCCAAACGGACCAGCACGTTCACGGTGACCCGCTCCTGTCCACGGCCCCTCAGCATGAACCTGACCATCCAATATTGAGCAACAACATTGGGTTTGGCCGTTCCTTACAAGTAAATGAATACAATTGCATCAGATTACAGCACACTATCAAGCTCCCACTTAAGTTAAATAATCATAATTTATCTTAGATGGAACTGATGCAGCTGAAATATCTCTGAACATGCTCAAGTGCAGTGCCTCATTAGCTTCTTTTCCTTCCTGATTTCCAGGTAAGTCATTTAACTTAAAAATGACAGATTTAAGTAAGAAGTGGGCAATACTTAAAATGCTTTTTTACAGCTTTCACATAGTGTGGATACAGCTCATCATGGCACACTGACAAATCATACTCAGTGGGATTTTGTATCAGATTGCTGCTAAACCAATAAAAATAGGGATTGAGATTTATTAATAGGGTTTATTTTGAGAGGAAACATTTACCTTTGTTTTTCTCCTTAGCTTACTATATACTCTTCTCTTTCCAACACTGATTATTTATTTCTATTATTAAAAATTTAATGAGTCTGAACTGTTTGCGACTACTTACTTGCTTGTCCTCTAATGACCGCACATGCATCTGAATGCCCTGGACATTGCTGAGTTCCTTGTCTGTTACAGTCTTCATCACTAGAACCTACACAGGTGTAACACTGCAGTGCTTCGCCTGGCATTAAGGAAAAAAAGACCACTTATAACAGTAGTGTTTAGAGTTTACAAAAAATATTTTAAAATATCAGCTACACAGTCTTTCCAATTTTGTTCGAAGCACATGCAAAAAATTGCAAAAAAGGTTAAAAAAAATCTAAAGATTCTGCAAATCCGATCAATTTTTCTTTTTTAGAAGTGGTCCAGATACTGATTTCAAAAATAAAAAAAATCAGCCATATGTTATTTTGTTGTTACAGTTTGCATTTAAAATAATCCAAGAACATCTGATGTTCTGTAATTGCATCCACACCTTCTTGTTACATTTGCAAAGCAGAGTCCACCGTAACAAGTTGGAGTATCATGTTTTTTTCCCCCTCCGTCATGATCTTTGGTCCACAGTACCATGAAAAAGTACATTGTAAACACATACAATCTTACTATGATCCATATTTCATTTTCTCCTAAAGTATCAATTCAGGTGGAAGGCACAAGAGTATATCTTAAGAGGTTTGCTTTTGTTTAAACATTACAACCGTAACTCGATCCTCTTTCTTTTTCTTGGTTCAAACTACGTGGTATTTTCAAAGGCAAGCATGAATTTGAAATATATTTAAAATACCATACTTCAAACTTGCAGAGCAGAAGGCACACTTGCTGTCCACAGGGACATGTGCATTTAAATTTGTTAGCATACATATTTATGTTTACATTACACAGCAGGGGTGAAATTCTGTGCTGCTAACCACATACACAAAATAATCTGAAAGCAAACAAACCCAGGAGAGAAGCCCAGAACAGCAGAGGCTCAGCCACGCCTGAAGTAGGAAATTAAAAAGAAAGGAAAAAGGAAAGAAAAGGGAGTTCACTTACTTTTGAGTACAAAAAGGGAGCTGACAAGAACCAGGCTGAAGACTGTCCACATCATGGAGATACAAGAGATGTCCCATTAGCCAAAGCAAGCAGTTCGTTTGCCATTAAAGCCTTAATACTTATCTTACATACCTAATCTTCTGTAGAGGATAACTTATAGGATAAAGAGGTGTGCGAGAATGCTGCTTACCTAGCTTATTCGGGTTGTGCTTCTAATCACACACACTTCATCTCCGCAAACCCTGCAGGCAAATTCCTCCAGCAGCAGGAAGAAGAAAATGTATTCACCTTTCAGTGATAGATATGCTTAAAACCCACCGTCCCTTCATCGCGTGTCACAGCCTCCAGCTCATGGAGTCTCATTACATTTGCCTATGTGATTCGCTGGATCAGGGTCAGAGTATTAAACGTTTTTGAGGAATAAGCCTATTCTTGGGACGTGAATGGTCCAAATCTAGCGCATATATATATATTTATAGGGAGAGCAAGATATAGACATAGATATGTGCACATAAGTAGTATATTCTTGTGACCCACGGAGTGCTCCAAGCAGTGACGCATGAAGTGCTTTCTATGGAGGAGCCCCTTAATAAGAGCTGCTGTATCTGGCGCTGCACACGAAGTAAGCAAGGGAAGTACATAAAACAGAGCCATACTTATCTTCAACTTTCGACGAAAAAATTTATTTACAATAGAGAATTTCATTTAAGTGACATGCATTTTCTTTTTTTTTTTTTTCATTTTTAATTTTATTTTACAAATCAGCAAATGCAGATAAAGTTTACACTCCTTAAGGCAAGAGTCCCCATGCAAGTAATACATGTTTATATTAAATTCAAAAGACATCCAACATGGGAACTCATGTACAAAGGGAAGGCTAGGATCAGCAATTTGTAATTTCTTAGAGAACTTGACCATCTCCCTGATACAGGAACTTTGAGATCAACTTGCTATGAATTATACTATGAAAATGCAAACAATAGCAAGAAATTCTGATAGTCATCTTAGTACTGCATACAATAAATCAACTTTATTTAGAAAGAAAATACAGTAGTGCATACGAAAAAGTGAAAATATAACCTGTCCACATAAATGTATGGACATCAGTGTGCCAATGGTCATATTGCACTCAATATTGAAGTCCAGAAATTTGGTTAAAAGTTAACTTTTCCCCATTTTGGCAATCAGTTCATCACAAATCTTTGTTAATTCTTCTATCTCTTTATTCTGGAAAATAAAAGGCAATATTAAGTATTATGAAACACATTGTTGCATTAAGATGAGGGTTGTTTTTTTTTTAATTATCCAACCTTTGGGCAAAGTGTGGGACAACTAAATTTTCTCCAATACTGAGAACAGAACATCTATATAGAGAGACAGATAAATATAGATAGATATATGCACACACAGTACAGCTACGTATGGTGCATTCAAACAATATGCTTACTTATTTCCACATACAGCTCCTCTGACTTCAATAAATACAATTTAGCACTAAAGCACACAGCTTTATAGCAGTCATTCCTAGCACACGATAATAATACATAGTGTAAATTTGTTTCTAGGCTGCACATTTCTAGCATTATTTTCACTCTGTTTTCCAGGGGCTCTAAGCAAGGACGAGCTGCAGTATACTGAAAGCAAGCTCCTTTGCTGAGCTAGAGAACATGAAATATAAATAGGGATTTCCTACAGTCATTTTTGCCCTAAACCGTACAGATCCGTATCTGATCATTTTGTCTATGTTAACAGTGGAGGCATGTAAGCTAGCGTTGGAATTACAGCTAAAACTAAAAATGGAAACAAAAAACGAAAGAAGAACTAAGACAGAGAGATCTTAAACCTGAGAAGGAAAGCAAACCAAGGGCCCTGCTTGGTACACAGGTGCCCACTGAGCTTTGACCGAGTCCGAATCAGCCCTGAGCGCTGGCCGGTGGCTGAGATCAAAGCCTGGCAGATGGGTCCATTTGCCCGAACTGCCCAGTGCACACTGCTGATTTTGTTATAAGGGTTGGGCATCTCTGCTCTCCCTGGGGGCTGGGGAGCTGCCGGGCCAGCTGGATGTGAGGAGCTGGAGAGGTCCTCGGGCAGACCTTGGCTGTGGTCTGAGCTCCAGAGGAGAGCTGGATGCAGCCACTCTGGGAAGTTTCACTTAACTTTGGTCACCCTGTTGACTTCTGCGTTAAAAGAGCTGAATTGCTGTTTACCTTTTGTTCCAGTGTTCTTTCCAATGCGTCCACTTTCAGCTGCTCTTTACGAAGGCTGGCCTGATACGCTGCTTGCTCTTGCTGAGCCTTGCCTCTCACTTGTGCAATTTCAGCATTGGCTCTAGAAAAACATAGGTTTTTGTCACGTCAGGTTCTCTACAGGAAAGGACAGCGGGTACCAAAGGGCGGACCGCATCTTAACAGACGGGTGGTGAGGTCAGGGCTACTTTCTGCATGTCTTTGAAAGTATTCTGAGACTTGTCCCTAGAGACTTTTCATGACTCCCTCTCTTGCTCAGCAGAGGCTGCAAAGTCTTTTCTTAATGTCTGTGTCATTCCCTTCATGCTTCTCTCAGATATCTGTGCTGGGGTCACAAACATCCCTTAGGTAGAAGTGTTTTATGGCAGTTTTTAAACCTGATCTCCAGTTCTTACAGACTAGACTCACAGCTGGGACAACAGCTTGAAAGCAAATCCAAGTCTGTCTTTGTTTTAGGCACTGATCAATCCTAGGGACATTTTGGAAACATCTCTTGGGTCTAGGGGACTGTAATATGAGTCCTGAATATAATCCCTAGAAATGCTTAATTGGTCATTACATGGAAGCATAGGAAAAAAAATAAATCAACCAGAGCTGCCTCTCTTAAGCCACAATCTGATGTTCGCTCCTTAACCGTGGCTGGAGGAGTTACTATCCGTGCACATCTGGCACAATCTTTTGTGCAACTATTCCTCGTCGCCCTCAGCACAAGTTGGGACGATCCAGCTTAGATAACCAGTGTTATGAGGGAGAGACCGCCTGACTGATTCTGCACTGAAACAGCTGAGCAGCACTTACATGTTCTGTTCTGCTGATTGACGCAGGGGCAATAATACAGCACAGGGGCAATAGCAAATCTCTGGGGGCAGGAATACTGGCTGCAGGTGCAAATATCTGAGCACAGCCCTCCATAGCCGCATAAACCTAGCTAACAGCCTCTTTCTTGATCTTCCCTGGAAAATACGTTAAGGAAACATGAAGACATTTGATAAAGATAGAAATTTAAGGTGTTCTATATGGTCAGGAGCTGGAAGAAACACCAGCACATTACAGAAATTCTCATGACGGCATTTCATTCCACCCTCCATCACAGAGCAGCCTGTGCTCTGCATATTGAAGAAGCAGGTTTGGGGTGCAAGGTCCAGCCACAGGAATACTCCTGAAGCATGAACTCCTGAAGAGACATGTGTACAATTAATTACCTGTCCAGTTTTTCCTCAGCATGAATTTTGAGTGCTTGATACCTCTGCTCTTCCTTCTTTACTCGTGATAAATATTCCTGCGCGCATTTCTTTAACACTTCTTCATTCTTAAATGAGAAGATGATTACATTAAATTTAATCCAAGAGGTTGAAGTGTAGGACAGGCACCTATTTGCGGGAGTCACATTCAGATATTTTAAGGGCTGCAGTCTAACACTGACACCCCCACACAGAAGTCATCTGAGGAAAGATTACTCAATGCAAAAAGCTTTACAATTCTTCTGTTTGTATTTGATACATGGGTGCAATCCTTCATCAGAGGATTACGTTATGTCACGCACTTTAGACATAACCTCTGACCTGAGGAATTCACATCCTAGGTTTTAACAGAATGCTCACTCCAGAAGCCAGCCCTGACATGTGCTCAAGTCCTGCAGTTATGTGACATCTATTGAAATCGCAGTGTCACAGATGGGAGCAAGTTACTTTTGTGCAAAATCTTCATCTTTTTAAAGCTATTCCAAAATGAAAGCACAAATGAGCATTCATGTTCTCCCTCCCCCCAGCACACTGTAGTACATCAGATTCAACTGGAAACAAAGACGTGCCTTCTGTTAAGCAGCACTGGTATACATGAGAGCCTGCTCAGCTTTGCTCTGTAAAGGAGGGGACTTTAACATGACTCACCTTCCGAAACCCCTCCAATACTTCTTTCATTTTTTCATATCTCCTGAAAAGATCTGCCAGTGATTTCTCCACTGAGTTCAGATCTGCCAAAGCTTGTTCCTTCTCCACTATCAGCTGCTGAACAGTGTGGTGTGAGACAGATTTCTCTCTCTGTTCATCCTCTGTTAGAAAGAAGAGAGGGGAAGGAAAAAAAGTTATTTTCAGAAGGGTAATAGTAGTAAGAACATTGATTTCACCACCATCTACAGTTTCTACTATACTGTGCTCTATGCTGTGTATTAGCAAGTTTGCAGGATCCAGAAAAGTCATTTTTATATAAAGACACAATCCTGTTTTGGAAAAAGGCTGCTAAATACAGGGGTATTTAAATATTTTGATGTTGGGGAAAAATGTGAATATATCTCTGTACTGATGATTTATTTCACTCTGAACTCAGCTGTTCCCCTGAAAAAGGCAAGTGCTGGATTTCCCTTGTTTGCCTGAAGATGCACTAGCTGAAGGAAAGGACATTTATGCATATTACTAGCACTGGCAATAAATTATTTGCCATTGCTGATACGTGCTTTTCATCTCCTGGCATCTCTTCTAATCCTGTACAAAAAAAGCACTTTGTTTAATGGAATTCAACTCAAATTCTTCCCTTGGAAAAACAGTGTTTTGCAGACTCTCATTCTTAGGATTACTGTAGCAAGTGCCAGAACGGAAATCTAACATTAGACTGACTTTCTAAGTTCTCGTCTGCAGAAAACATCTTCCAAGCTTCTCCTGGGTATAGTTAAATTTGAGGCAGGGATGGTGGGAAGAACACAACAGGAATCCAAGTCTGTATGGAAGAGAATTTTTCAAAGGAACTGACCTAGTAATAAATTGGAATACCCGCGTAACACTGGAAGAAAAGGTCTGGCATTTCCTCATCCAAAATGCTTCATTGTTTGCTTC